TCATATTAAAAGAGTATGAGGACCCCCCACAAAAAAAAAAAAAAAAAAATGAAGGGATCTTCTTCTTCTTCTACGGAGCTATTCGCGCGTAAATTCAGTAATTTAAGTACTCTACGGTGGACGGTTTGATAGCCACTAATCATTGGAGGTTAATATCCAATAAAGACACGGAGAATAAATAAAAAGAAGAGTCTAAATCACGGCTCCTATAGTGTAGCGGTTATCACCTCGGACTCTGAATCCGATAACCCTGGTTCGAGTCCAGGTAGGAGCATTGTTTTTTATTCATTTTTTCCATATTCTTTTTTTTCTTATAGAATATGGAATAGAGAATTTATCCATAGAGGCATTTTTAGGGCATATTGTGGTGATAGTCCTACCTACCTACCTACCTCCTTCAAGAAGATGGGGGGGAAAAAAAAAAGGTTTTGTTTTTTGAAATCTTTAATAATGGTAATGGGGGGTGGGGTTAAACTTTGATTTCTTTTTTTTTTTCTTTTTTGTGTGTGGTTTTATTGTAAATTTTGTATATGATTTAATGATCAGGATAAAAGAGGTTCTCTTTCTTTTTTTTTGTTTGTTTGTTTGTTTGATCTCTGAGGAATAAAAGGACACCATTATTGTTTGTTTCTTTATTTGTTTGTGAGAATGTGTGTGGAGCATCATTGCTTGCACTATTGGTTTCTGATACACTTTGAAGCTTTTCTCGTTTAGAGTTTAAAGGATCAAACAAATGTCTATATATATATATATAGACAGATGATATGGTGATCTTTTTTTTGATTCTTTTGATTCTCAAATATTAAAAATAAAGACAAAACATGACACTTAAATACACATTCTCTCTTTCTTTCCTTTCCAGGAGTAGGGTGGTGTGGGAGGTGTTGTTTTCTTTTTCTTTTTTTTTTCTTTTTTTTCTAATTGAGTGTAACTTGTATTTATTTTGTGAGACTTTTGATCCTGTTTTTTTTTTTCTTACTTTTTGATTCTAAATGGGCTTTAAGAATTATTATCCTTCTCCTCTGTTAATAGTATCGGACCACATTCCTTTTTAACCACGGTTGTATTGATAGATGAATGGTGGATTTTTTATTTATTTTAATTGTATCCATCTATTAACAGCATGGTTCCCAGATTATTATTCACAATGTATATGTATCTTTACATCTGTAATGTATGTGGATACGTTGAAATACATTCATATATATATATATGTATATGTACGGGTGTATTTCCATTACTGTTTTTTACAATATGATTCGCATAGAATTTCCTACGGCTGTTTGTCGAGATGTGAAGGAGAGAAATACTTTATCTGTGATAAATGTATCATTTATCTCCTACTTTCTATTTTGCGTGTTACAGCCTTGTTGAGATAAAATCTATAAGTCTTAATTGACTTGTTCTTCCTGTATTACTTTTTTTATTATTATTCAAGAAAAAAACAATTTTTCATGTTCCTTATTTGCACTCTCATTCTCTCTCTCTCTCTTCTTTCTTCATATTGACATTCATTCCTTTCTTTTTTTTTTCTTCTCTATCTATCTATCTATCTATCTAAAACTTATATACCCATTATATATAATATTTTATTTTTTTTAAGATTTCCTATCTAATTTTCTCTACAAGCAAAACACAACCGCAATCATGGCCTCTGGTGCTCGCGACACATTACCACTTAACATCATGCGCAGCCGCAAGGCGGATGAGGTGAACAGAGACATCAGCGCCACCGCCGATCGTTTCCGTCAACGCTATGAAGGCAAAGAAGCCTCTGTGCATGGCCGTAAGGAAGAGACCACAACTATGGTAAATGAATACTACGACCTCGTTACAGACTTTTATGAGTATGGCTGGGGACAGAACTTTCACTTTGCCCCTGCTTACAGTGGAGAAACCTTTTATGAGTCTCTCGCCCGCCATGAGTTCTTCCTTGCCTATCAAGCACAGTTTAAACCTACAGACACGGTATTGGATCTTGGTTGTGGTGTGGGTGGCCCAGCACGTAATATTGTCCGCTTCGCCGGCTGTAATGTGATGGGTGTGAATAACAATGAATATCAAATCTCACGTGGTCGTCGTCATGACACCCGACTTGGAATGAACAGTAAGATTAACTACGTCAAGACAGATTTCTGTGATATGTGCTTTGGTGATAATGAATATGATGGTGCCTATGCCATTGAGGCCACCTGCCATGCCACAGATAAGGTGAAGTGTTACAGTGAAGTATTCCGTGTGATTAAGCCTGGCAGTTACTTTGTGCTTTATGAGTGGTGTACCACCGATAAGTATGATCACAGTAATGAGGAACACCGCCGTATTCGCCATGGAATTGAACTTGGTGACAGTCTTCCCGATTTGGAAACCACACATCAAGTGATTAAAGCCCTTGAGGCCTCTGGTTTTATTGTGGAGGACAGTTTTGATATGGTGGAGCGATTTGAAACCGGGGCATTAAAGAATACCCCATGGTATGGTCCACTGCAGGGAAATTACATGACGATGTCTGGACTGAAAGCCACACCGCTGGGACGTTGGGTGACAAATAAAATGTGCCGCGTGTTGGAGTTATTTGGAGTGGCACCGAAGGGGACTTATAAGGCGACGGAGATTCTTGAAGAGGCGGCGGTGAATCTCGTGCGGGGTGGGGAGTTGGGCATCTTCACACCTTCCTTCTTTGTAAAGGCACGTAAGCCACTCCCAGGGGAGAAACCACAGAGGAAGAACTGATGAAGATGAAGAGGATGTGTGTGGAGTGGGAAATACGAAAAGACAAGAGCAAGTGTTAAACCCGATAGAGAATTAGGAGGAGGTTTTTCGGGAAGAAGAAGAAGAAAAGGTGTTGACTCCTGTATACATATATATAGTCTATATATATATATATATATATATATATATATTATCTTGCTCTTTTTTTTTACCCCTATTATTTCTTCTTTGAGAGTGTTCCAGTAGCAACCCGCTGTACTGGAGTGGCGGGGTAAAAAGTGAAAAAAAGTGTGCGGATCGAAAAGCAAAGAAAAAAAGGAAAGAATGAATGAACAAGTGAAACATATTTAAAAAAAAAAAGAATGAAATAGGGGAAAAAAGATATTATTATTATTATTATTATTATTATTACTGGCAAAAAAAAAAAAAAAAAACCGAAAAGGGGGAGGAAGATATTAACGTTTCTTAATACACAAAAGGGCAACAAAGAAATGGGCTTCTATAGTCTTTTTCTAATCTTTTTCGCTGTACTGAAGGAATTTATAAAAAACTTTGTTGTGCTTGTGTATGAATATTGTTGAAAACTCTTCTTTTTTCTCTATATTTATTAGCTTCTGAGCCCATACATGTGTGTGTCTGTGTGTGTGAATTTATTCATTTATTTTTTATCATCTCCACACCACACTACACCCCGTACAGGCGAATTAACGCAAATACACAAAAAAAAAAGAAAAAAAAAAGAAAAGCATGTGCTACTAAAAAAAAAAAGTGGTAAAACAAGGGGTTATGGAGTGGGGTGGGAAAAAGAAACTCCAGAATAGAAAATTGGTTGTCAGTCGAAATATATTTATATATATATATA